GAGAACAGCTGCTGTACAGATTGAATAAACTTTTGATGTATTTTTTCATCCCAAGGAGTCCTGAACGTGTGCGCAATCCACATCTCAGAGCAAAACTGGCAGAGACTCTGGAGGCATTGGTTCCCATTCAGAAATCCAAGAATTCAAGTGAACTTTTGTCTGTCCCACAAGTCAATTTGGTATGTTTGGTTAAAATCAAGTTGTAGAAATTCTAATGAGACCACTGTCTCAAGTGTGACTTGCTGTCAAATCTATTTTAATTAGTGAAATAAATTTGTTGTCTCCTTTGCTTGCTATGGTCCTGATCACTGATTTAGCTGGAATCAAACCTTAGATTCCTGATTTATACTTCTTTGAAGGAAGGTAAAATCAAATTTTGTCATGAGAGGGGAATCCCCTTTTTGTCACTCAAGCAATGCCATTTAGCAAGTTGGCAATTGTTTAAGTTGCTTACTTTTTCAGGTAGTTAGTTATTTTGCTTGTTATATAGAATTAACTCTGTCATTATAATTAGATATTAAATTAATGTAGTTAGCTCAAAGATATTAAAATTTGGGTGCTACTCTGTAAATTTGAGACTTATAAAGTTCATCTGTGTACATATGTATTTACATGTAGGGCCAATATTAAATAGTAATTGAAGTTTGTCAACTTTTGAGGCAAACAAAGCTAATAAACAAATGAGCATTTGGAACCATTGTAAGGAGGGAAATAAAAGTGTGAAAACTGCATGCATGGCATTGTGCAGCTCAACATTCTATTATCAGCATTTATTATTTGATCATAGTAATGTAATTGGTCAATATGTTTTTATTTTATAGTTCAACAGACAAAGTGCTTTCCTTCAACACAAAGTTGCCCCTGCCTACCTCCCTCAGGCTCTTTTACAACTGTTTGTGGACATAGAATTCACAGGACATTCCATGCAGTTTGAGCAGAAATTTGGTGAGCTTCTTAACCCTATAGACCCTAACATCATTATGCATATTCTCCATACTGTTCTCTATACATTTCCAAAGAGGCTGACAAGGAGAATTTGTTTCATAATCAAGAGCTGCTTTAGTTGGTGATCATCTCCTCTATTCTCATGACTTTTGTGTTTGATTCAGGGGTGATATTGTAAGGAGAAATTAGATGCTAGTTACTCTTAGGGGCTAAAGGGTTATTGACAGAGGTCCTACTTGAAAGTTCATAAGGCAGTATCCAACCTACATTAATTCTGTGTCTCGGTGACAAAACACAAATACAAGTCACATTGGACATTAAGGATTTTTTGGCAACCGTTATCCTTGATTCAGCATTTTTACCCTGAGGCAAGATGTACAAATCCATAGTTTTGCTGCAGGGAGTGAACAATTTAAAGCCACTCGTTCAGTGATGAACTCGTTTGGAGAGCATTGTCACATTGACATGTGGCAGACTTGTTACTTAGTGTGTCCCAACTTGATTGATTAAGATTCTCAGAGGGACTGAACAATAGGCAGGTGGAATTTACAAAACTGCAAATGCTAAATGTAGAATAAATAGCCCTGAATTTTGAATAGTAAAATGTGGTCCCTGTGTTTCCTTAACATGTAAAACAACACTAATTAGGGAGCTTGTCGTGAGAAACAATGACAGCGAACTTATATTTTACCCACAAATTTTGCAATACTACTAATTAAAGTCATTAAATTTGTTTCTCACTGTCAAAACCATCTTGAAACTGAATTTGGAACACAGTGTCAAAGTAGACATAGAAATTTAAAATATTAGCTGTCATCATTCACATTCTTGAGACAATGCAAAGTTTGGTCATTTTATGTCATCATTTTTCAGAGGACACAAAGAAATTTACAAAGATTTATAATGCACATGCACTGCCATTGTTCTGCTCATTAAACCTTTTGTTTAGTTACATTCTTGTTGCCATTGCTGTCATGGTTTTCTTAAACTCCCTATTAACCTAAGAACACCACATGACCAATTTTCTGGCTTATTTGGTTGAAAATTTTCAACTGAGAGGTAAAAGAACTCATGCATTGCATATTCTTAACCAGGTTACCGGCATCACATGTATTCGGTTTTGAAATTCATGTGGCAGGAAGATGATTACAAAGCTTCCCTGATGAAGATGGGTGAAGAGGTATGATGCAATGATTACACAGATATATGAATAGCAGTAAAGTTTGTAATATTAATGATGATAATAATAATAATGATAGTAATGTTTGATTTATTGAAAATAATAATGATTATTAATAGCAATAGTCATTATAGCAATTCCAATGACTCGATGTGTTGGGGCTGGTCAATGCCCAGCTATTGCCTGGTTACCCATTCGGGACATTTGAGTTTTTTTTTTTTGTGCATGCGTGGTGGCTGGCATCCTCGAATGGTGCCAATTAAGACCACCATGTTGAAACCTCACTATCTCGTTCAGTCTCTCTGGGTCTTAATGTTAAGCTAATAAAGAGGGAAAGAGTGGAAAGAGGGAGGGAAGGGGTCCTCACAATGCTGCAAGTTCATGCTTAAAGCACAATAAGAATGCCTCAGATGAGGAGCACATGGAATTCGGAAGCATGTGCATATGTAAAAAACAGTTGACCACCAGAGTGCGCTGTTGTTAACTCTGTTAAATTGCATATAACTGCATTTAAGTTTTCTAACCTCCCTCCTGTTCAGATGAGGCTACATAAACTCACAACAAAACCAACTAACCTCTATTACTTTAGAAGGTGTAGCTGTGCAATGATGAATTTGGTTTGTCTTTAAGGCTGCTGATGAAAAGAAGAAGAAAACAGCTATTCCACTATTTCTTCGTTTCCTTAATTTGTTGATCAATGATTCTACATTTCTGCTGGATGAAGCTCTTCAGGTATTTCTTAGTCAGGCTGTATGCAAAAGGTGTCTAATTTTGGAATTTGTCAGTCAAAACATCTTTGACCTTTTGTATTTAGAGTTACAGAGGCACTTTCACTATTTTTCTGAAGCTGTTTAAAAAAATTTTGGAAATCAAGGTCACTCCATGATGAAAAGAGGGAATTTTTTTTATGAAAAAGTGTTCTGCTCTAGAACCAAAGATAAAAGGAGACTCAAGGAGAGGAGAGATTGATTTGCATAGAAATGGTGTTATTTTTTCTTAATGTATGTAAGCGAAAATCATGAGTTAAGTTAAGTATTTTTATTTGTAGTTCATGGCAGCTCTGAAGAAGCTCCAAGCTGAGAAAGACAGTGGAGACTGGGAGAGTTTAACAGAGCAAGCACAACAGCAGGTTTGTGTTGTCATATTTCTAGGCATTACTCTTGATGTTTTACCCCAACTAGTTTTAATTATTAACCCTTTAGATCATAAGAATGGTTTGGAAGACAGTAAGGAGAATTGCTAATAGGATCTTGGGAGTAAAAGGGCCATTTGGAAATTAGGCCTAAGTTGCTTGGAAAAGTAAAAATTAAAAAAAAAAAATGTATACTTCACACAGTTTACATAAAAGTTGGGAGGCATAAAAGCTAGCATTTTTTTTAAATACAATCAGTTTGAAATAAGTCTGCTCCCCTCCCTCATCTTGGGCGGAGCAGGCTTATTTTAAACTGATTGTATTAAAAAAAATGCTAGCTTTTATGCCTCCCAACTTTTATGTAAACTGTGTGAAGTATACATTTTTTTTTTTTGGTGGGGGGAACCTACAAAATCTATTGTGGAATCTCTTTAAAGCTGTAGTATGTCAAGCAAAAAAATTAGAGACCAAAACTCAACTGGGTCAAATGAGTTGATATGGAGTTTTTGTACAGCAGGTGGCCAGGGTATTTAGGTAGGGAATTTTTTTTAAACTTAAAGCTCATGATAGGGAGCCAATTAGTCCTTTGGTAGCAAATAATTTCAGGCAAGGTTTTTAAAACTGGAAGAAATGGAACCAAGAGGGTAGTGTGGAGGATTGTTACATGAAATTGTAATGTTGCAGTAAAATGAAAGCCAATTTCAATGTTGATTAATGTGAGCTGGTCTTTGTAGAAGCAGCAGGAGATGCAGCATACCAGTGGAATGGCTCGCAGTCATAACATCTTAGCCAATGAAACTGTCCGTGCACTGAGTTATATAACAGCTGACATCAAACAGTGAGTAATTAGTTGTAATTATCTCATTGTTACTTACAGCCTGGGTAATGTTAATGAGGGGTATATACGTAAATCTGACCAATCAGATTGTATAATTAAGGGGCAGCAATGTTTCTAATGCACTGATCAATCAATAGCTTCTACCTTACCAACCCCCCCTGCCCCCCTGGGCAGCCCACAGGCACTTGAACCTTAAGTATGGAGTAGTTTAAAGGAAAAAAGTCTACTTTTGTGAGCAAATGGCTAAGGAAGGAAATTTTTACATCATAGAATGATGCTTACAAACGAAAAACCAAACAGTGACAGTAAGAACTTATATATGACTTTGTTAAATTTTAAAACATTTGTTGATTAGACAAGGGATCACTTAATATTGGGTGGGGCATTTGAACACAATTTTTTTTTTGGGAGGGGGTGGAATTTTAAGAAGCCAATCTCCATAATCCAAATACCCAAGGGGTTGCATGGGAAGAGGATATTGAAGCTTCAAATTGATCAACACATTGGAGTATTAACTTAACTCTGAAGATGAGTACCGCACAGGTAGTCAAAACGTCAGTCACCAACAACAGTTCTTTTCAGAACTACACTCACCCAGACGATCACACTACACGAACTACATCGGAGTATTGTGTTGAAAACTGCTAAGAGTGTAGTTAGTGTATAATAAAAGGAGTTCCTGATGATAGAGTTTTTTGTTATTTTGCAGACCATTTCTCATAGGTTGCATGGTGAGGAGGACTGCAGATATGTTAAATTACTTCCTTCTAAGATTGGTTGGACCAAAAATGGGAGAACTGAAGGTTTGATACAATTTAATTAATAGGAATTCAATTACATTTGCAGCTGATATATGTAACTGGGACATTTATGTTTCATTTTGTAATTTTACCAGATGAGTGTCAATCAGTTACCAGACTTGAACTAAGGACTGAAAGCAAAGTGATGTACTTAGATATTCTTTAACCTTGGATTTATCATCTGAAGTGATAATGTAAATTGGTCACCTTTTTGGATGTTTCAAGTGTTTAAGCCCTTTGTCAGAGTGAATGGCGTTCGTTTAGTACCCCCCACCAGCCTAACACCACAGTTCCTATTGACACTTATCCCCTTTACTTATTCTTTTGTTTGACTTAGGCAAAAAATCTCTCAGAGTTCCATTTTAAGCCTCAAAAGCTGGTTTCTGATATTATTGACATATACCTTAACCTTGGTGAACAAGACTCCTTCTGCAAGGCAGTTGCCTCAGACAAAAGATCATACTCTCCAAATTTATTCAAACAATCAGAGAGGGTACTCAAGTAAGTAAAAGAAAATGGTCATCTTTTATTTCATAGTTATCAATTTAATTGTTTCCTAATGTGACCATTACTAAAGATCTCAAAAGGATTATTACACATTGTTTTCTTTTAAATTTCTAGATTGATTGGAAGACCATCTTCAGTAATCTTTAGACTTAGTGAACTTGCAGATCGTGTTAATGAATTTGCCCAGCAAGATGAAGAGGATGATTTGATAGATGTACGTATGTGCCCCACCTTAACTCTGTAACTCTCAAGAGTGACCAAGACAGAATTTCTCCTTGCAATATCAATAATATATAAAACAGACAAGTAATGAGAATAAGGAAAAAGGTCAATTAGGGGATTATTAGTTGATCCAATACAATACTCTCAGAGCTACCATCATAAAAATTACATGGCAGATGGTAAGGAAAATTACTACAGAGATCTTAAGAGTGAAAGGGTTAAGCTTAAGATAGAACATGTGACATTTCCCTTTTACTACCAGGACCCTTGCTTTCAAAAGGGTCTGATGCAATCAAAGGGGAAGGAAGTTGCAAAGTCTAACCTTGGCCATTGAATGAGAAAAGATTATTTATTTTTGATCAAGTGGGGATCCAGGACTATTCAGTTCCTCCCACACTACCCACACCTTTTTTAGGTTTTGCTTCATCTGCAAAATATTATATTATCCATATCTAGAAAATCCAAATTAAGAATGCTGGCCTGCAGCTTGAATGATTTTGGTTAATTACAAATGAAATTTTGTGGTAGAATAAATGTGCATTTTTGTTCACTCCTTAGCCACCAGAAGAATTTCTTGATCCAATAACAAACACACTGATGACTGATCCAGTGATTCTTACTACATCAAGTAAAATTGTAGACAGATCCACCATCTGCCGTCACCTTCTGAGGTATGTATGACAGATGCTGGCTCAACAAGATAAAGAGAGCTGATTTTTAGATATTTTATAATTACAGGTTATTAAAACAGCAGTTATTAGGGCCTCTGTTAAGAATCTGATTAACAGACTTATTGATTTAATTAATTCAAAACCTGCCTTCTACGTGGATGATACCTTTGAATGTTGTCATTTTACTGCTATTGTTTCACATATAATTATCGTCACTTCGCAATCAAATATCTCTAAGTTGCATGCATATTCCAAATAGCAATGATAATTACTGGTAAGCCTTTGAATTTTTCCTTCTTGGCTTAAAGACCTGGGTGACTATGTTAATTGTGTTTCTGATGTGACCTTTCATATTTCTTTGCAGTGATCAGACAGATCCTTTTAACAGGAGCCCTCTTACTCTTGACATGCTGAAGCCACATGATGAGTTACGGACAAAAATACTTGCCTGGATGGCAGAAATGAAAGCTCTAGGGAAACGCTGACGTTAAGTTTCTCACATGGTCCTCCATGATGGCCCTCATTTCCTCTCACTTTTTTCTCAGGAAATTTCCAATGAAAGTGTCCGAGTTTGAGTCAGTCAGGAGGACTGTGTGAAGATTGAAGAAATCTTTTTGGGTTTCCTGGCGATTTTTGGATGTTCTACTCATCTGGGATAAATCTTGTTAGGGCTTAGTTCATTTCCATGTTTTCTTTTTTCAAGAAAATAGGTTGTTGGGGGTAGTTGGGTGGAATTTTAAAGAGGAGGACTCTTATGTTATTTCAAAGGATAAAGAACAACAGGCTTAGTTTTCTGGGTCTCGAGCTAACTGAAATATTCTGAAAAATTTTCCAAATCTAAACATTTTCAATCAAGGGTTTCAAAAGTAATCTTTACTGCCAGTAATAGCTGTTACATTTTTGGGGGTCTAAGATTATTACTGGTGCCATTTGAAGGGCACGAAACATGGTATTAATCAAGCACTTTGGTCTGGGCGAGTCCTTGGAAAGTTTGGGACCTTCCCTCTCAGTCAAATGTTAAACAAAACAACCAGGATGCCAGTCAGAGGCTTGTGTAAGAGTCTCTTTCCCACCCTCCTCTTTCCATTGTCAAATATTGTCAACGCCTTTGATAGCACTTTTCAGTTGGCAGCTGGGTTTTTTCCTTGTCAAGGTAAACCTAGAGCATCATGTATCTTAACGGTTTTATTACCCAAGCCCAGAAAGTCATCAATTTATGAATTTGAAAAAATAATTACCTTGATCATGAACATCTATTACTTCCCCCC